CTTCGCCACCCCTCGTGTCCAATGAAACTCCCCTTTCTTCATGCACTCAGTGATAGGCGCCATAATAGTGCTAGACCCTTTAATAAAACGGCGGTAAAATGTAGCTAAGTCGTGAAAGCTCCTGACATCATGAATGGCCTTAGGCTCAGGCCAGTCAATTATCGCCTGAATCTTAGTAGGGTCAGCAGACACCCCTGTCGACGAGACAATGAACCTTTAAAAACTACGCTATCGGTGAAAAAGGAACATTTCTTGACATTAGCATACAGGTTAGTCTCGCGAAGGGTAGAGCAAACTTGTTTGAGGTGGTCACGGTGTTGGTCCTTAGTTTTACTATAGATGAGGATATCATCAAAGTAGACAACAAGAAATTTACCCATGAACGGCCAAAGAGTTTGTGTCATTACCCGCATGAAGGTACTCGGCGCATTACTTAGCCCAAAAGGCATGACCAGCCATTCATAAAGGCCATCTTTCGTCTTAAACGCAGTCTTCCACTCGTCCCCTGGGCGAATTCTAATTTGATGGTACCTACTCTTTAGATCGATCTTTGAAAAGATTGTCGCGCCAACCATCATATCCAGCATATCATCAAGCCTGGGAATGGGAAAACGATACTTCACCGTGATCCTATTGATAGCGCGACTATCCACACACATTCTCCAAGATCCATCCTTTTTGGGCGTCAATAGGGCGGGGACAGCACATGGGCTTAAACTCTCACGAATGAATCCTTTGTTGAGAAGGTCATCTACTTGCCTTTGGAGCTCAGCGTGCTCGGTAGGATTCATCCTATAATGTGGCAAATTTGGAAGGGATGCACCGGGGACGAAATCTATGGCATGTTGAATATCTCTTCGCGGAGGTAGATGATCAGGTAGGTCCGACGGAAAGACATCTCGAAACTCCTGAAGGATCGATTGGACTTCCGCAGTATCCTCACTTGTGGAGTTAGATGAAACCTCCATGACTACTAAGGCGAACACAATTGAGTCACCAACAATTGTACGCTCAAACTCTGTAGGACTAATGATATGCAACCCCTTTTGTTCCACACTTTTCTTCGCTTCTGGTGAGCTAGCCGGCTTTGGGGGTAGTGGGTTAAGGTGAATCTTCTTTCCATTAAACACGAAGGAGCAGGAATTGGATCGACCATATATGGTTACATCTAGGTCAAATAGCCAAGGTCGTCCTAAGATGATGTGCCCGACGTCCATCGAAATAACGTCACACCATATATGGTCCTTATACTCCAGGAACTGGATAGGGACTAAACAACGCTCCTTAACAGCTATAGAGGAGGTGTCAACCCAAGAGACACTATAAGGTTGGGGGTGAGGAACTGGCTTCAACCCTAGACGGGATATAGTAGCCTTCGAAACCGCATTAATACAGCTGCCACTATCCAGGATAAGTTTACAGCCCTTGTTATTAATTTTGATGTAGGTGTGGAAGATGGCATGACGGCGCCAATCGTCGGCATCCTTAGGCTGGGTGAGGGTGCAACGGACGACACCGACTCTGGGTGTATGTGGGATAATGGGACTAGCCTGAATACAACCTAAGAAGGCATCCTCACTGTCCTCCAAGTCTTCAAACTCTTCTAACTTAGGTTCGACGACTATACCCTCACGTTCGTCCAGAACTAGGGCTCGACTAGGGCACTTAGAAGCAATGTGACCAAAACCCTTACAGTTGAAGCATTGCAAACGGGAGGATGTCCTTGAAACCTCAGAACCTCTACCTTTGCTATCCGATGCAGGGGTGGTATTAGAGGGAGGAGGACCTAAAATAGACTTAGGGGATGGCGTGGAGGCAGATGAGGTTGGATGGCGTGGATGCAGATGAGGTTGTAGTGCGGGAGTCACTACGATTTCTATACGGTGTCCTAGTCACTAATTCATAATCCCGAACGAAAGAGTAGGCGTGGTCAAGAGTGGTGACACCCCTAAGGATAAGCTCGCGCCTAAGTTCGTCTTTTAAGCCTTGCCTAAACCTACTTAAAGTCATAACTTCATCCTCAACAACCTGACATTTCATTCGAAGCTCATCAAACTGAGCGACATATTCGGTCACAGGTCGATTGCCTTGTGTAAGTGCGTTCCATTGATCCAGCAAGTTACCCCTATAAGATTGGGGTAAATATTTTTAGGCGGCGCTTCATTTCATCCCAACTCCCAACAGGGGGAGCATGACGTCTTTCAAGGAGGTCCTCAACACTCTCCCAAAAGAGCTGAGCAGTGCCAGTTAACTTCAAACTGGCAAATTGTACCCTCCGATCTTCCGGGACCCCATACCATGCAAAGAAGCGATCCATATCTCTAACCCATTGATTGAATGCACTAGGATCTAGACAACCGTCAAACGTAGGGGCATCCAACTTAATGTTTCGAAAGAGGCGCT